CGCCCACAATCAAAGTTCAAGTCCAATGTAACTGATATAGTGGCCAGGACACCGGGCGGTCTATAATCCCTGTTTTGAGCTAGCGCCACCATATGTGTCAACCTCCTGGCTTGTCTGCCTGCCCGCGTTGCCACTCGACTACCCGCGCCCCCGCCCCTTTCTCTCTCATCTCTCATCAGTCTCTCATCTTCTCTCTCTCTCTCATCATCCTCTATCTCTGCTCTCCATGTCTCTCTCGTCTCTCTCGGCTCTCGTCTCTCTGGGCTCTCTCTGTCTGTCTCTGAGTCTTCTGCAGTTCTCTCTCTCGTCTCTCTCTCTCTCTCTCTCTCTCCCCTCTCTCTCTCCTCGGGTCTCATCTTTCTTCTCTCTCTCTCCTCTCTGTGTTTTCTCGTCTTGTCTCCGTGTCATCTGTCGTGCTGCTATGTTCTCTCGTCCTCGTCACCTCTCGATCCATCTCCTCTCTCATCTCTCGTCTCGCTCGGTCGTCCAATCTTCATCCGCCCCTCTCCTCTTCTCTTTCTCTCTCCTGACCCTGATGGTCTAAGCCGAAAATGGATTGCCCAGGGCCCCATCCTTAACTGTTTTTGGGGATTTAGGCCCCGCAAAGTATCATTGTTTCTTGTTGCCGAAAAATTGACATTCCTCAGAAATCTGCTTCAGTAAACCACACCGGTTCACACCACGCGCGCAGCAGCGCGCACGACCGACATGCACACACACACGGACACACACACACAACCGCCGCGGCGCGTAACACACGTCACAGCGCGGCACGCGCGATACGCATATGGACTCACGCACCTGACACAAGCGGACACTTGGCAATCAGCAAGCGTTACTCAGCTTGCCGTTTTTCAAAAATTTCATGCGTTGGACGTGTGCGCAAGCTTCTGTGTGAGATGGATGTCCAGACCGCGTAAGCCGTATGCAGCTCTCGTCCGACGGTCGTGTAGCCACGGCCAATTATTTTATTGGTGGCCGGCGGCGCCACAACAGCTGTTGTTACAGCCGACAGTTTTCAGGTGCCCGACGCCGTTTGCAGGTGGCCGATCTGGCACCCGCGGGCCACTCGTTTTTTAAAGGTTCCCCGAAGCGCCTGGTATATATAAGGCTAGTAATGACGAATTTCCTTGTTTATTGATGTCACACTCCTCCCTATTATCTACTCCTGATATATATTAGTATAGTATATATATAATATATATATATATAATGTATAATATATATATAATGATAATACTATTATACGAAACACATGTATGGTGACAACAGAATGGACGTATATCACTGGTAAAGGTAAGTATGTAGAAGTGCTGTGGCTGAGTATTTAGTAAGCAAGTGGCTTACGTATGTCATGCAGGGGCGTATGGATTATGGGTAAGACACTAATATGTGTTAGTAAGTATGGGCCAGCGCTTATGGACAGGTAGCATGATTGTTAGTATTACTAATAGTACTAATTATATTACTAGTAATGATTAGTATTAGTAACAGACTTGCAAACTGCACATTGTTCTATGTGTTTATTTAACTTATCAGAAACAGGGCACATGAAACTTTCATATTTCACTACACGTATTATGCCCATCATAGCATGGCTCGAAATAAGCGTGTGTCCGGTGTCCGAGAGCAACCGCAGAATTTGCCGCCGCGGACAACCGTAACCAGTCTGAGACGATGTCCGGATGACAACCAGAAGACCCTATCTCTAACCGCTGACTAACTCTAAACGGCGACTCGGCTCATATCTTATTAACGCATGGTACCGCAATTAATCTATGTGTATACACTTTTTGCTTTCAATATTGTTGCATGCTGAACTGACAATCCAATCCGCATGCAAGCCAACCGTGGTATAGGGCTAGCTAGCAAATAATGTTCAGTTTCATACTTCAAATCGAAGTGATTTTCTAGCTCATCAAGAAATCGTTAAATCGTAGATTAAATCGGTGAGAATAATAGAAAAATGGGACCAGCTGCTAGTTTTCGCAACACTTGTTATACATATAGCATATGTCAGGTTTTTCTGAGTTAGGAAAGTGTGAACTCGATTGGAACCAGCAAACCAGCAAGTTTCCGAAATTTTCTGGGGGAGAGACCCCATACCCCGCCTGTTTTTCTCGAAACGCCCCCCCCCTCCTTTGGAAATTTCCTAGACCGCCCCTGACTTATATATTGGGAGCAGAGAAACATGAAAAAATGTCGGCTTTCGCATCGGCGCCAACAACAAAGACTTGCCAGAGTCTGCGAGGTAGGGAGCCGTAGGGTGTGGAGAGGGAGGGCGGAGGAGCGCAAGTGAATATTAATCATCACTAGTTTTTGTGCGCAGTTCGCTGTTTTTGGCCCCCCTTGTTAAAAAATCCTGGCTACGCCACTGTTTTTGGGTGATTTCTGATTATATTATTATGTGATTGAAAATAGGAGATTTGAGGATTTTTTTGGGACAACCAGAAATTGTTGCGGACAACCCGATTTGATGCAGGGGTTGTCCGCAGGACAATCACATTTTTTTTCTTATTTCGAGCACTGCCTAGTTTAACACCCCGGCTTAGTTTAGCACATTTGCGAAAATGAGGACCGGGGTTCTAAACTTAGTTCATAGTTGGTAGTACTACTACTAGATACAATAATGTAACCCAACAAGAGTAGGATTACAACGCAAGCCTATTCTTTTCTTTGGAGAAGCCCCTGAGTGATTCACTCGGGGCGGTTTTATGGTGCGTTTTTCGAGACTACAAGTACAACTTCCAAACTGGGTTTATTCTAAACACGAACCTTTCTCCGCTATCCTGGGACTTACTATGTATCACAATACTCTGTATTAAACTAATATAACCTGTTACAAAATTTCGAAGTGAGGAGCGGCGATATTTCGAGCGCCATATTTCTGTTGACCTAGCTGTGACGTACGCATTCCTAATGCAAATAGCATTCAGCTAATTTCGGCTCCAAGATCGAATGCATCATGGGATGCCTGCTGTCAGTCATGACGTCACCAGAGACAGCATGTCAGGCAACAGAGGAGCCAAAGATAACCGAATGCTATGCGAATTGAGAATGCGTACGTCACAAGTCAACAGAAATGGCGCTCGAAATATCGCCGCTCGTCACTTCGAAATTTTGTAGCAGGTTATATTAGTTTAATACAGAGTATTGTGATACATATAGTAAGTCCCAGGATAGCGGAGAAAGGTTCGTGTTTAAAATAACAGAGTGGCTATATGCCCGGCAGCTGGCATATATCTGACGGCTACCGGGCAAGGTCTTCGATTTCCTAAATGCCCGGCAGTTTTTAATTTCCAGCGTTATCTCAAGTAAACAAGGGTTAGGGTTAGGGTTAGGAACTGCCGAGCATTTAGGAAATCGAAGACCGTGCCCGGCTGCGAAATTTTTTTTCCCAAACGGTATAACATAGGAAGGATTTTAGCGCCTTCTGATTGGCTGGAATTTGCCAAGATGTCAGCCTCCATGACTTGTAGCCAAAATCCCCAATTATCTACCAAAAACTTTCCCGAACTTTCTGTACGTTAGGTTAAAGTAGTTTTTAGTTGTTTTCTTTAAAACAACATGGGTTTGAATGAATTAACCCAAATATCATGCCGTTTCTTGACTGATTTGCTTTGACTGAAGAAAACCTTCAAGACAAGAGAACAAACGCCGTTTGTAAATGTTTGTTTTGGTTTATGACCGCTAGATAAGTATAAGTTTTCTGATGTATTTTCCATGTAAGACACATATTTTACTCATTATTATAACATATAATATTACTATAATTGCAATTCTTTGTGCAAATGTGTTATTTTCATCTTAATCTTAAGTTATGAGAGGGTCTAGGCTTATAGTTATAGCTGCCGAGTTTCTGTTTATGTTCGTGCCGTGGTCCGATTAGTTTACGTTTAGTTTTCCCAAGGGTCTAGGCTTATACTTATAGTTATAGCTGCCGAGTTTCTGTTTGGAAGTGACTATACGCACGGCGGCCGTATGGCCGACTCAATATGGCTAGGAATGAGGAAGGGGAGAAGGGAGAAGCTGGTGGAGAAGGAGGAAGGGGAGAAGGGAGAAGGTGGTGGAGAAGGAGGAATGGAGAAGCTGGTGGAGAAGGAGGAAGGGGAGAAGGAAGAAGGTGGTGGAGAAGGAGGAGGGGAGAAGCTGGTGGAGAAGGAGGAGGGGAGAAGGGAGAAGGTGTTGGAGAAGGAGGAGGGGGAGAAGAGATCGAGGTGGTGAAGGATGGGGGAGGGAGGGGAGAGGGAGAAAGGTGGTGGAGGAGGGAGAAGCTGTGGAGAGGAGAAAGGAGCAAAGGAAGGGAGGAGGAGGAAAGGGAGCTGGTGAAAGGAGAGGGGGAGAAGGGAAGACAGGGGATAAGGAGGGGAAGAAGGGAGCAATAGGTAAGAGAAAG